ACAGTCAGTGTTTATTACAGCTCTGCCTCACTGTCCATCTGACAATGATCTGTTGCTTTTGGAAGACACCAATGGGGGAGGCTGTGTGAAGGTTGTATGTCAGGAGTTTTTTTTTGTTTTGTTTTGTTTTTTAATTTTTCTAGACAGAATTTCTCTGTTTATTCCTGTCTGTCCTGGAACTCACTCTGTAGACCAGGCTGGCCTGGAACTCCGAAATCAGCCTTCCTCTGGCTCCCAAGTGCAGACACTAAAGGTGTGAGCCACCACTGCCCGGCTGTATATCACGATCTTTTTTTTTTGTTTTTTTTTTGTTTTTTGTTTTTTCGAGACAGGGTTTCTCTGTGGAGCCCTGGCTGTCCTGGAACTCACTCTGTAGACCAGGCTGGCCTCGAACTCAGAAATCCGCCTGCCTCTGCCTCCCAAGTGCTGGGATTAAAGGCGTGTGCCACCACCGCCCCGCCATATATCATGGTCTTAATGTAACACCTTTTCCCTTCTCTTTTCTTCCTTCAATCTGTTTTTTTTTTTTTAATGTCACTATCAGATAAGTCTTCTACTCATGTATCCATAAACCCAATTACTCCACAACTGCTTGAAGAAAACCTGGAAAAGATGGCGACTAGACCTATCTAGGTAAACACAGGGAGAATTGATGTTCTGCTTTCCTGCATCCCTGTAGCCCCTAGCCTGTCCTGTTTCTCCCAGGGGATCTGATTCAGAGTCCCACAGCACAGTGCTGCTGGTCCAAGTAATGCTCCCAGAGAGTTACATCCCACCCTGGCACCAGGCTCTGGAGAAGTCACCTTCCTTCTCCAAAACCCATGGCATACCCTTGAAGGCAATGCCCGCGTTGTTGACCAGCACGTCCAGTCCTCCGTATTCCTTGATCAGAAAGTCGCACAGTGTGCGAATGCTCTGAGGGTCATCGATGTCCAGCTGGTGGAAGCGTGGGCTCAGGCCCTCTGCCTGCAGCTGCTGCACCGCCGTGCGGCCCCGTGCCTCATCCCTAGCCGTGAGCACCACGTCCCCGGAGAATTTGCGACACAGGTCACGAGTGATCGCGAAGCCGATGCCTTTGTTACCTCCAGTTACCAGGGCCACTCGACTGCTGGACGACATAGCTGCGTGTGCGTAGTGAGGCGGTCAGAGTGCAATGAACCTGCAGCAAACTCTGCAGCTGGAGGTAGCTGGAGGCAGCTGGACAGTACTTTAGGAGTTGACTGGAGTTGGGCGGGAATGGGGGGGAAGGTGAGGGGAGGGAGAGAGGGCGAGGGATGAGGAGCTGTGGGCTCAGCACATATGTGCAATCTAAGCCAGGCCAACAATTGGGCCAGGTTGTCACACACTGGTGATTTTCATTGCAAGCTTTTCTGAAAATTGTTGTATATTTACGGGGTGCTGGCTCGCTCCCCTATCCCATCACTGTAGAACTCTCAGTGCTTTTACATATTAAACATGAAAAAAAAAAGATGTCAAGTTGTTTCTTAACGTCAGATTATTCAGGGTTAAAACCTCTTAGGGGTTAAAACCAGCCAGGAAAATGGCAAGGTCATATGACTGACATCTTAGGCTTAAGGCTTAAGGAGTTTTGAAGCCAGCTGCCAGGGAAGAGGGCACAATGCTGGAGAGAGGATACTCAGCTGTCCTCCTGGCAATCATGCTTCTGCTCGCCCATGGGATTCAGTCTTCTTCAGTGTTTTCATACTTTAAAGTTGTACCTGTGTACATATTCTTTCAGGTGTTTAAAGTAAATGAAGGTGCTACTTAAGTTGCAGGAACTTGAATTGTAAGACAGATGGCTTGGCAAAAAATGAGGAGGAATTGAAATTTGTGTTGAGTTTCCCACTTAGGATACTAACACAACTTTATTGGATAATCCTTGGGCAGGAAACATTCTTTGCCAGTGTGGGGTATTTCTTTGTATACCTCTAAGAGCTTT